CTGTCATGTCTGTGCACGACGCAGGAGAACGTGAATGGGGAATATATGGTCTATTTACATCATAAGGCAAAAAGGGGGAGAGAGGGAGAAAAGGGAAGAAAAGAGGGTCTTTATAGCCACTAATCCATTTCTTCTGTGATGTGTGAGTGTATCGATCTACATAACAGATGGCAGAGCATCCGTTGGCAGTGCTAGATAAGGCGCACTGGGGCAGTTGATTACAGCCACTGAACAGGTTTACACTGTTTGATTTAATTAAGACTTTATCCTTGTGCTCAGCTCCCCACCACAAACACGCATGCTTAGCCACATATACATATCTGAGTACACAGACAAACACACCTGTACAGTGTATAATCTGAGCAAAGGTAAGGGGGTGGAACATATGCCTAATGTATGTAGAGGAGGGCGCCTCTTATTCAGAGTGGAGCAACTTGGGTAAAGCCATGCAAAGGCTAATCCCATTCAGCGCGCACACACTTGGCTGTGAGACGCTGGCCCTGCCATGTGAAACAGTATTGTGTGGGGCAATGTAGACAGTATGTGGATGATTCCATCAAGCAGACCTCTGGGTGCGTAGGGGGAGGGATTTGAGGCTTGATGCTGAAAAGATGTGAACCAAACAGCTGCTACACCAAAGCCCCAAAGAACTTCCTCTGTGGAGATGTAGAAAGGGAGGGGGGGGGGAACCCCACGACTGTGCTTGACAACAAATTGACTGCAATTCGCATAGCAACAGTTCCTGGAAGGTAACGCAGTAGTTAGAAGGGCACATGGTGTATGGAGATGTGAGCACACTATGTACACAAATAAATCAAATAATAAAACACGGATGTACCTATCTTTGCCGTCTCTTGCACGCACGCACGCACGCACGCACACACATGCACGCACACACATGCACGCACGCACACGCACACACGGTGCAACTGGCTGCTGAGGCAGGCAGAGGGAGCAGATGGAGAAGCCTGAGCAGATCTCCAGTGAACCGACATGGTCTAGTGCAATGTTGCTTTTTACAGCTACGTGCTCGCCGTTAGTCAACCGTACCAACTTTTTTCACTTTTGTCTGCATCCCAGGAAGCATGGAAGCCATTCATTAGCTGTAAACATGGTCTATGCTTGCATTTGATTGGTCGGCAAAGGACACATTAAGTGCCCAAGTGGAGTCATTTATGACCCCAGTCGTATTTTCAAATGTGTAGCTGTGATGCTTTCAGTCATAAGAAATTTTTCTATAACTTTTAGCAGTTTTTGCTCTGCTGTTGTGACCAAGACAGTGGAAATATGTCTTTTTTTGTACATTTATATTAATTTTCCACTTCTAATCACTACATTGCAACACTTTCCAGCGAATCTCTGCTAACCCATGTTTGAATAAAAACGATCTAATTAAATTGATTAGAATATTTTAGAAAATCTAAACAGAAAAAGGAGCCAGGATGGGGGGAAAAAAATTGTGGTCACTAAAATAGCTTGGGCGCTTGAGCGTTAAATATAAATTTGTAATTAAAGGAAAATGAGGCATGAAACAACCTGTCAGGGAACGTGGGTAGTGATGGAATAAAGGGAAGATGTTTTCTATTCTCTGCCTGGTATACAGAATAATTAGCAGCCAATGTGACAGTGGAAACATATAGATTTCAGTGTTGATATCACATTAATATCATCACACCTTGAATGAAAGCCGGAGGGACTGTGCTTTTTGTGCACTGATGGACAACCAATCATGCTTAATTGTCTTTGCTTTCATAGCAGCTGCAGTCTCTCTCATATTAAGACATATTCCATTCAAATCTCCAGGACAAGCATTTATAGCCTGAGCTTATCGAGTGGACAAAGGGTCCCGTTTGAATAATTGGACCATTTCTTATCAGGGGTGACATCCTTACAAAGATCTGCCGTTGACCGCATCTGCCCAGACAGGAGGGAATGAATAATACCTCATTCATTTGGGCCCGAAGCTTGGCCCTCATCCTCAGGGTCAGACCATAAAATAAAGATGTGAGGGACAAAAACAGAGGAGCAGATCCAATACGGAATATTTTGCATGCTTGAAACAAACACTCCTGAAGTTTCCTAACAGTCGTCAGGGTTTCGTACATATGCTAAATGCCAGTCGCGAGTGTAAGCTGCTGTGGACACTTCTACGCCTTTGTGCTACAATAATGTTAAATGATGCATAGTCAAAAGGTCATGGTAGAGGTGAGTCTAATTAAAGTGGCAAGCCCATGTGGCGGGGTGGGGGTGGAGATGTCGAAGCTTAAGTTGCTGTGTCTGTTTGCAAAAGCTGCGTGTGGTTCAGAAGACTATGAATATGAATCGGTAAAAGGTGGCTCTATTCCAGGCTGCCACTGATGACACCCACCCTGTAGATGTAGTCCAGCAGCGGGGCCTTGTGGGCTGTGTGGTCCTCCAGTGAAGGCATGGTGATAGGCTCAAGCAGCAGACTCAAGGGAACAGCCATGCACCAGTCCAACAGGCAAAGCAGAAGCGATACCATCAACTACAGTGTGAGAAATGAGAGAGAAGTTGCTAATTTATTTCAGTCACACACTAACAAATAAAAGATATATTATTAACAAAGCAAACCAAAAAGAAAAGAGTGGCAGTGGGTAACAGGTGAGAGCATCAAAGACGCGGTGAACGAGGTCGAAGAGAAAATAAATCACTCAGTAGAAACATTCCTCTGCAAATGGACCATTCCAACATGATGGATCAAGAGCCTTTAGATCTCAGCCATTTCATGTCCCATCCTTTCCAACGTGTACCTTTTTGTCCGCTTCCACCGCTGAGTGCTCTGCGCTCGGCAACAAAAAGGCTATTGTGGCCACAAAGATCTGTATTGGGACAAAACAAGGAGAAAGATAATTGGATGACACACTGCCATTCATCATCTGAGTCAGGGCTGATTGCTAAAACGGAGACGAAACCACAGGAAGAGGACTGTGCGCATGAGCGAGCGACAATTTGTGTAATGTTTGCATTTAAATGCTAAAAGTTATTTCAAAGGAATTTCTCTTATTGGATGTGAAACACATTTACATGGGTTACATCAATATGTGTGTGTGTGTGTGTGTGTGTGTGTGTGTGTGTGTGTGTGTGTGTGTATTCATATCTTAGTGGGGACCAAAAATTGGAAGTTTACTAAACTTCTGGGGACCAAAATCATGGTCCCCATACGTTTGAAGGCATTTTTACATTACCATTGGGTTATGGTTAGGTTTAGGCATTCATTTCTGATGGTTAGGGTAAGCAGCTAGAGAAAGCATTATGTCAATGGGATGTTCCCACGAGGATAGCAAACCAGACGTTTGTGTGTGTTTTACCTCAATAATCTTCTTTGGGAATGTGGGCTCCAACCTCTGGAGATGCTCCCAGTGAGAGATGAGCAGCTGAAACACGTCACAGGCTACCTGCGCCACTGCTTTGTTCCCAAACTTTAAAAACAAACAAACAAAACAAACAAACAAGAATTTAAAAGTGAAGAGAAACTGCACCGTCAGTTAAAAAAACCCCATAATAATAGAAAATGCAACACACTAACTGGCCACTTAATTAGATACAT